CCGTGTCCTCCACGGGAGTGACCTCCACACCCACAACCCCTGCACCCCCAGAGCCGACAACCCCTGCAGCCCCAGTACCCTCACCCTCCGCAACTGCACCTCCCGCACCCTCAAACACGACACGGACTGGACGCTGCGGGGGGGACGACTGCGGAGTGACGTGCGACACACCTGACGGGGCAGGACGCGAAGGGGGGGGGGCTACCGGGGCGACTGGGGGGGGCTCAAGGGTGAGGAACAGCGGGGGGGAAAAGGCCTCAGTACCTCGGTGGGGGCGACTCCTGTAGTAACAGACAGACTCGTCGAACGTGACGTCCTGAGAAGCGAAGAACTGGTAGGTGGCCGGGTCGTAGAACAACCAGCCGGAGGCGTCCAAAGGGAAACCAAGAAAGGCGCAGGCACGGGTGCGCGGAGACAACTTGTTCGCGCCAGGGGCGCGAACGTGAGCCAGAGAGCCCCAGACACGGAAGTCAGCTGCTACGCCTGGAGAACCTGTCCAAAGGGAGACCGGCGTCACCCGTGGCCGTGCGTCACTAGGCCACAGGTTCAGCTGGTGCGCGGCGTAGCGGACTGCCTGGGGCCACAAGAACTGGGGGGCACCGGCATGGCACATGGAGGTCCGGGCAACCTCCATGACCAGGCCGATGCGACGCTCGGCTACCCCGTTCTGCTGCGGCGAGGCTGGTAACGTGTAAGACTGGATGATCCCCCGACCCTGACAGAACGTCTCCAGTCGAGTGGAAGAGAACTCACCACCACGATCCGAGTGTAGACGGAGCCCACACAGGCCCTGGGCGCCACCCCTCGCTAGTAGCCACGGCTCGAGGACGGTAGGCACGTCGGCCTTCCGTCGCAAAGGGAAAACCGTGGTGTAGCGGGAGTAGTCGTCCACCACAATCAGGAAGTAGCGCTCCTGACGTGGGCCAAGGACCGGGGAGGGGCCTCAGACGTCCAAGTGCAGGGTCTGGAAGGGAGACGTGGTGGGGGGGAACGAGGAGGAGTGAGGGGCAGGAGTGCCATCCTACTGAGACGTGGGAACGACGGGTGACCTAGACGGTGGTGCCAGAGGACCGACGGGTGGGTGAGGGACCGACAGTCACACGACACAGCGGCTACCTGACCTGACCTGACCAGACCTGACCCAGTGTGGTGGGACCCGGTGTGTAGTGAGTACAGACCAGAGCCCGGCTCCCTGCGAAAGGTGGCCAGAGGGGCCCCAGTGGTACCGACTGTACAGGAGGCAACTGACTCCTCTAAGGGAAAAGTGGTGACTACTCCGAGGTCGTGGAGGTGGCTGACACCCACCAGGTTCCTAGAGAACGAGGGGGTGTAGTAACCTGTAAGGACCCCAGAGGGAGCAGCCGGACACGGGAGAGTGGTGGTGCTGCGAGCAACCACAGGTCCCACAGAGGGGTCGGCCAAGGCAACAGTGACGGGGGTGCGTAGTGGTGTGAGGTCGGCGCGGTCACGAAAGAAACAGCTGGACGCCCCAGAGTCGAGTGTGAACGACAGGGACGCAGTCTCGGTGGTCGAACCTGGACAAGCTACGCTAGCAGGAAAAGCACTAGCAACCTCTACAGCAGGTAAGGTTCTGCACGGTTCAGTGCGGTTCTGCCCGGTTCTGCGCGGTTCTGCACGGTTCAGTGCGGTGGAGAGTACGGGGTGGGGTAGCAGCTCTGGCTGGTGCGGATGGGTCAGCAGGTAAGGTTCTGGGCGGTGTCGCACGGTTCTGTGCGTTTCTACGCGGTGCTGTACGGTTCTGGGCGGGGGAGAGTAACTGGTGGGGCGGCTGGGACGGGTGGTACAGCGGGCACCAGGTGGGTCAGCGGGGACGGGTGAGACGGTACCGCAGCTGGCGGGCTGTGCGTGCGTGCGGCTATTGCTGCGCGTGCGTGCAGCTATGGCCGCGCGTGCATGCTGCTAATGCCGCGCGTGCGTGCTCCTAATGCCGCGCGTGCGTACGGCTAATGCTGCACGTGCGTGCGGCTAATGCTGCGCGTGCGCGCGGTCGCATGTGCGGCTACGACTGCACGTGCGCATGGGCCTGCTGCGCGCTAGCGGGCTGGCGAGCTACGCACGGGGCAGAAAACGGGTGAGGCGCGGGTGAAAAAAAAAAAAAAAACGGGTGACGCTCTGGGCTAAACGGATGACGCGCTCAGGGCACTACGGGTGACGCGCGAGCTAAGGGGGGGTAGCAGGGCGCTTCGGGTATTAAGTGGCTACGTTCCTAGGTCGGGGCACGGGGCGGTGGGCCCATAGGGTCGACTAGCTCTATACCATGTCGAGACTAGAACGGGTGAAAAGATTGACTAAGGGAAACGAGATACAAGAGGATATAGCTAACCCTAGGAATATGAAATGGTACACCTAGACTAACATAAACTAAACATATAAAATATATGTTGACACATTACACTAGGGTTTCCTACTTGTACTCTCAACATTCCTAGTTCAATCATTCTCGTTCAGTTCTACATTCTAACACCACCTTCGGACGAGTCCGTAGAGCCAAGTGGTCTGTACCCAGAGCTTGTGGGTTGCCTCGTGTACCTGATGACGTGCAGACGACCTGACCTCGCGTACCCGCTCAGCCTCCTGGCTCGCTACGTGGCTCCCGGTAGACATCGAAATATGCACTGGGATGCTGCGAAGTGGGTATTGCGTTACTTGTGCTCCTGTACTTAGTTCCATCTGTGGGGCCGAGATCTACGCCGGGGCTATGGCTGCACAGGAGCTCCGGTGGCTGACCTACCTGCTGACCGACTTGGGTGAGCAGCCTCGTTCTCCTCCAGTTCTGTACGTCGACAACAAGGCCATGATGGCCTTGTGTCAGGACCAGAGACTGGAGCACAGAATGAAGCACATTGCTCTTCGTTACTTCCTCACGCGAGAGCTGCAGTAGCGTGGTTAGCTTCGTCTTGCTTACGTGGCCATTCGGGCCAACACTGCTGATGTTTTTACCAAGGCACTTGGGTCTAGTGATCATCAGCGTTTCTGCACTGCTCTTGGGCTTGTGCCCACTCTGCCTTACTTGCTTGTCTCTTGACCTTGCTCTTGTTGTACACTGATATATATGAGTATACCTGCATGCTTACACTTGCCAGGTTGTGATCAGTGTACTGCTCTTTGCTATTATAAACTCTCCATGTGAACTGGCCTTGTGGCCGCTTGCTTGTGCTCAGAATTCGTGGTGATCTTGAGATCCACCCTGAGCTTTGCTTTGCTTTGTTCTCTTGCTTGACTGGTCTTGTGATCGCTGGTTGTATTTGCTATCCCCACTTTGCCTATGGGGGTGTGTCAAACTTATATTCATATCTGTTGTTAGGCTATAGTGGGGCTAGCCTTATGGGGTACACAACTTTAGGGTTTCCTACTTGTACCCACATCCTCATAGTTCATTCATTCACGTTCTGTCAGTATAGAGCTGCATAGCATTATAGAGACGATGTATGTACACTTGCCTTTAGTGCAAGCTTGCAAACGTGGTCGTGTGTAGGGAAGCCCTGAACACAACTTACCAACCCTGGATGATCAGCCGATGCAACTTCTGGCCTCTGATCAATCAGACTTTCTATCTTTTGGCCGAATTTTCTTCAAACTAAATGGATTTTTTTTATGTTCTTTTCTTTTAGGGAGCCTAGAAATTAGAAACGTCAGCCCACTACCATCCTCGCAAGATACGACTCAAAAGGTACCGTAATCTCCCGGATATAAGACCTTAGGGTCTTATAAAAACTTGATAGGACCGCGGATGTTAGTATTGTGCGATTTAATCACATCTCGCCATTCAATCTGACTCTGGCCTTCTTATTGGCCAAAATTGCACATTTGGGTGGTCGAGCCTTACAAGGCGGGATTCATGCATCCAACCGTGGGAGCATGCTCCAAGGTGGGAGCATCACATTGGAGCAGCCCACACGGTTCAGAGGGGTACATGTCAACGTTACACCCGTCGCGCCTTGGCTTCCGCTCCGCCTGTTTTTTTCATCTCTGCACGATGCTACTCGGTAGACTGTTTGTGCGCTCCTCGTATCGTAGGTTAGAGATGTTTGTCGAAGGCTGGGCCGTGACGGAGAAGGCGATTTACAGCCAATTCCTTGCACATCGGGCCCAGGTTTTGGTGAGCATGATGGACAAATGGGCATCGTAGTAGAAGAAGCACTGCCAGCCTTCTGCCGATTTCCGCGCGTCGCCGCGGTGCACCTTTTTCTCCAGCGTGCGGTGGTCCTTGACGAAAGGCCACGTATCACTACATGCTAAGTCGATAGTCAACACCCTCCTACTTTGTCGTGAATTGCGTGCATATGACACAAACGACTAGAATCTCAGCTAGGTAGAAAACTAGTTACTACGGGAGTCGAAAACAGAGTAATGAACCCAGTTCCAGCCTGAAAATGAAGATGGGCCTGGCTACTACAACCATCGTTTTGCAACGGCCATGCGGGTGTAGCACGTTGACATGCGACGGCTGACTCCTGCAAGAGTTTGCTATTCATTTGGTGGTTGCCAATCACCGCGATTCAATTATCCACATGAGTTGTTTAAAAGAGTGTTGAATCGGCCCGATCTCTTTCTCTTTGAGAAACTCGTCGCAACACACTTTTAAGCTAGGCCGAGGTTTGCTATTATGCACTATCGTTTTAACGGTTCCAACCACTAAAGATTGTTACGTGTTGTGTGCCACAGGTTGCAAAGGGAAGGTTGAATCCTTATGGGAATTCGTCCACCAGATGTGCGTGCTTCATCGTTTTTCGTAGAATTAGTCGTGAGCGCCGACCAGACACCCCTTAACCTGGAGATGCTGGCGGAGCGCACCCTCGAAATGTAAGGCGCCTGCACCGTGCATGGCAGGACTGAGGGGTATGAGAAGGAGCGCGCCACTGTCATGTTGGCAGTGACGGCTGACGGCCTCAAGGTCCCGCCTATGTCATTTTTAGCAAGAAGACGGTGCCACGGTGTGGTGCCATCAGGTGAGCCAGAAGGGTGCAGAATTTGTTCTAATGCCGATCGTGGGTTGTGCAGGTGTCGTCATCCGCGCCAAAGGAAAGGGCTGGGTGGACGAGCGCCTTGTCCAGGTGCTTGTCCCGTTCTTGAAGCCTCTGCGAGACGAGGGCGGACGGGACAAGCAGGCGCTACTCGTCCTTGAATCGTACAAGGGCAATCTCACTCAAGCTGCAAGCCAGCTACTGAAGACGTTTAAAATGACGCGTGCCGTCATTCCTGGTGATCGCACCTCTCACTGGTGCAACTACTTGACGTATCCATCAGCCGCAGCTTCAACCGCCCGGTTTGCCAGCGCTACAGCACTTGGTTTGAGGAGGTGGGGATCGGCCTCGCAACGCGTGCAGATCAGGTTTTGTCCCTTGTGTCTTGCCTAAACTCAGCCCTCCTTTAATCCCACTGGCCTGAACACCCAAACCCCATGTTCTGCCCCGCAACAAACTTGACGAAGCCTCCATCTGGAATCGTCCTGAAATGGGTAGCAGAGTCGTGGGCCGATGTGCCAGAGGAGCTGGTGAGGAAGTCATTCCTCACCTGCGGCATCTCCGACGCCGAAGACGGGAACGAGGATCATCCGATCCTCGCTCGACTGCGGGATAATACTGAAATGGAGGTGCTGGAGGATGTGCAGGAGGAGGCAGATGACGGTGCGCTCCCCAACCCGTTCTACGAAGACCTCGCGGGCGCCCCTGAGGCCGCAGCCACCGAGGAGGACAAGGACGTGGAAGTGGTGGATGATCTGGCGAAGGAGTGGGGTGAGGATGCATCCATGTCGGACGAGGCGGAGGATAGGGCAGACGATGTGATGAGAGTTGCGGAGTGGAGCAATGACGGGGACGAGTGGTGGGCACTTTGCCACTTTGAGGGGGAGGAAGTGGAGGGGTGGGTGGCAGGCGAGAATTAGTGACAGCGATGTGGTATGGTTATGCCTTCTGCTGTTATAACTAAAGGATCGTAGTGGACAGAATAAGTCTGCCAAGTTTGAAGGAGGGCAATGAAGCCTCGGTAGTGACCTTGTTAATAAAGTTGAAAGATAACAAGATGATTATAAGATAGGAGTACAAGGGCATAAATAGCAATCATAGCTTGCCATGTACTCTGAGGGGTACATTCCCTTATTAACTGAATTGCATTGCTATAGTAACCACGACTATTGCTCTTCTCGACAGTTACCATGTTGCATCGCGTAACTACCAAGTGCGGCTACTGGATGGTCAAGAGTCACGACCGTTGACTGTCTTCGACTGTTGACCTTCGGGTGACTCTTGATCTTCCGCATGCTCTATATGAGCTATTGCGGTACTGGTACAGACGCGTTGCTTCGTTATGAAGTGACGCATGAGTGGAGATCCTTCGGGAATGCTACTATAACCTTTCGGTTATTCCAACACTCCCCTTCATTCCTGAAGGTGAGCCACGTGGGATTTCTTCGAGATCCCGCAGAGGTCGGTGCAGTGCTAGAACTTCTGACATGGCAGCTTCTTGGTCAAGAAATCTGCTGCCATGTCACCAGTTGGGCAATACGTGAGTTTGACCTTGCCCTTGTCGATCTCGTCCTTGAGGAAGAAGTAACGGAGTGCGATGTGTTTCGTGCGGTTCACGAACCCGGGCTTGTTTGCGATCTTGATCGCACTCTGATTGTTGCAGAGTAACGTGAAATGCCCATTCATCGTCACTTTTGCTTCCTGCAGGAGCTCCATCAGGGACAGTCCTTCGCGAACAGCTGCGCTGGCGGAGATGAACTCAGCTTCGGCTAACGAAAGTGCGATGAGCTCCTGCTTGTGGGAGTTCCAAGAGATGAGTCCAGCAGGTTGGAGTTGAAAAATGAATCCTGTCCAGGAGCGTCTGTTGTCAATGTCTCCCGCGTGGTCTGCGTCAACGTAGCCGTGAAGCTGCAGGGTAGTGGTGAGGTTAGCTTCGTAGGTGAGTCCGATGTCAGTAGTAGAAACGAAGTATTGAAGTGCTCGGCGTAGGTCCAGTAGATTCTCCCCTTCAGGTCGCTTCAGTGCGAGCTGGCTTGCGACGTAGGAGAGATCGGGCCGGCACGTGACGGTGGCGAACAAGAGGCACCCCAGCCACTGCTGATAGAGCCGATGATCCTCAACGGAGAGCAGTGTGGTGTCGGGTTCGTGGTTAGGAGGAGGAGTGCGGAAGGGGGTGGTGAGGTTGATCGGAGCGACGGCGAACTTCTTAGCTAGTGTTTCCGCGTATTTAGCGGCGGAGAGGTGGATGGAGGTGGCGGATTGGGTGATGTCGAGGCCCAGAAATTCTGTGACGTTGTGGTTGATGGTCACTTCAAGCTTCTCCTTGATTTCTGCCTCGAACCGATCCAGCAGCTCCGTGTCGTCGCCGGTGTAGAGTAGGTCGTCGACGTTGGCGACAAGGAGAATGAACTTGCCACGCGACTCCTTGCGGTACATTCCGAGATCATGTGGCAGTTCAGTGAATCCGAGCTCCTTCATGACGGTGTGCAGGTGCTACTGCCACAGTCGAGGCACCTGCTTGATCCCATGGAGGCAGACGGCGCCGTCGGTTTCCTCGAAGGCATGCGGCTGCTCGATGAAGATGATGGCGTCGACGGGAGCGTACAGGAATGCACTTCCGGCGTCGATTTGACGGAGCGGGCGCAGTTTAACGGCTGCGATGCAGATGAGGATGCGCACCGAGGTGTGTCTTCTGACGGGCGCGTAGGTGAGGTCGAATTCTACCATGTGAGTTTGCTCGAAGCCGCGTACCACCCATCTCGCTTTGTACTTGTCGATGGAGCCATCCGCAAGTGTTTTAATTCGGAAAACCCATTTGCCGCTGAGAATGTTTCTCCCCTTCGCTGATGATCGTGGAACCAGCTTCCACGTTCCGCGGCTCTTTAGTGCCGCGACTTCCGCTCCCATGGCTGCCTTCCATTTCTCTCTGTCGGGGCCAGACAAGGCTTGGCGAACGGTGGTAGGTTCCTTGGGGGAGGCGTGGCGAATAGCGGTAGCGAGTTCGAGGATGCAGAGACCAGTTTTGTTGGTCTTTTCGTAGTGTAGGCGATCGTAGTCGTGGAAGCTGGTTACTTCGACGACGTCGTCGTCGTTGTCATTGCCGAGGCGGAGGGTGTCTTGCGAGGTGTTTGGTGGTGGTAACTCTGCATCCGGTGATCGGCGCGCTGCACTGTTGTAGTTGTGGGCTTCATGAGTTGTATCGTCGGGATCAAATTGATGTACAGGTATGAATGTTGGAGTTTGGAATGGGCTTGTACGGGGGATGTTGGGGGCGGTGTCGAATTGGGTGACATCAGCTTCGTCTGCATCCTCTGCCAGGTCAGCTTCATCGTGTGACGTGGAGCTGTGATGCCCCTCAAAAACCCTTTCTGGTGCCCTGTCAGCTTCGCGGTGCTCCTTGAACAGCGGCAGTGTTAGTTTTTCGTAGAAGATGCAGTCACGTGATTTCGTTACTTCGTGTGTCGCGTAGTCCAGCACGATCCATGCCTTGTATTCCTTTTCGATCCCGAGGTGGATGCCCCAGCGTGCTCGGTCAGCAAACTTTCCGGTCCTTGCTGCGTGTGGCCTGTATTGTACCATGCAACCGAACACTCGAAGCAGACGTGTGTCCGCTTTTCTGCCCGTCCAAGCTCTGTAGGGGGAATTGTTGTTCTCGAGGCTTCAGGAAGACAGCAAGTTGTGCAGCCGGACAGCGTGGTTCATCGCAAATGGCCAGTACTTTATTGGCATGGCTGACTGCTTCATCAGGGCCCTCATCCTTGTGGCGAGGCTCCTGTTTGTCCGTTCTGCTACTCCTTGCTACTCGTGAGCGGAGGGCAGGGACACCAGGTGCTCAATCCCCTTCTGCTTGAAGAGTTCCTTGAACTCAGTTGAGAAGAACTCCAAACCCCCGTCTGTCTGGTTGGTTGTCAGCTTCAGTCCAGACTGCGTTCAGCCCGCTTCATCCACGCTATGAAGCACTCGAAGGTGAGAGAGCGGCAATTAGTGTTGACGGCCCAGACGCGTGTACATGCGTCGATGAAGGTAAGCGTGTAGTTCTCACCGTCGAGCCCATCTTGGCTGAGAACCATGGAGTCGCTGTAGACTTCGTCGAGCGGCTTGTAGCGTTCGTAGCCAGGGGGTAAATCGGGAAAGGGATCGTGGGCAAGTGACGCAGTCAGGCACATGGTGCATGGCGGGTCGGCTGATTCCACTCCCAGGTGAAACTGGTGGAGTGATTTGTCTGGTTAATTCCGTTAACGAACGAGACCTCAGCCTGTAAAATAGTCATGCGAACGCTCGCGTTCGCAGCTGACTTCTTAAAGGGACTGTTGGCGTTTAGCCAACTGTAAGCTTGAGGCAATAACAGGTCTGTGATGCCCTTAAATGTTCTGGGCCGCACGCGCACTACACTAATGAATTCAACGAGCTCACCCTTGACCGAGAGGTCTAGGAAATCTCTGAAAATTCATCGTGATGGGGATAGATCGTTGCAATTATTGATCGGCTGTCAGGGAGCCTCCGCGAGGGAGAAGCAACGCATCCTCATCAAAGACACCAGCTTTGAGGGAATTCTTTAGCGTGGCGTGTGAGGGATGGCCGAGTCGCTGATGCCATGTTTCAGGTTCCGCACGGTATCCGACATGTTGGTGCAACCCTACGGTTTACACTCGGCTTGTTGTCCGTGTGCGTGCATGCGTGTGTGCATGGAATGGCATGAGGGCATGGGATAATATATATTTCATGCTTATAATAGTGTGGGAATGTTAAGTCATGATGTCGAATGTGTGTGTCGAGTCAATAGCGAGTTATCGCTAGTCGCGTGGCACGCGGTCGTTTGTGTGTCTTTCGCGGTTTCAATTTCGTCGTTTGTGTGTCCCGAGCGGTTTCTATTTTGTCCTGTGTCGAACGTTCGGCCTGTCGCAAGAGTGTGCACGAGACCCATCAAGAACTCAAGGATGAGTTTATAGTGAAGAACCAGAGCCTTGGTGTCAAGATTCAAGTGATCGCGAAGCCCCCGAAAAGGTACACCTCAAGATATTGAGAATAGTCGCATTACTTTGTGTAGTGTAACATTTCACTTGGTGTAGGCCCTTTGTGAAGGGTAGTTTTGAGACCCTTCGTGGTTGGGGACAGTGTGGGACTGTTCCACATCACTGTACCTCGGCTCTTGGGGTTTGTAGGAGCTGGGAGTCATTCCCAACTTGTAACTCTTCCTATCTTGTGTTCTAAGACTATAGTGGCTGCCATAGTGCCGTTCGTTCAAACCGACGCTGTGTCGTCAATACTTGGTCAAATTGTGCGATCTAAATTGCTCATTGTAGGCAACATTAATACGCTCCACATACAAGTTAAATCAGGTAATTTGAATCTGTGACCAGAAGCAATGAACGTTTAAAGCCGCTGTGCAGAAATCCGACTATGCACTCTATCTCTCGTTTTAGGCACATTGAAGCCTACTCTGACTATAACAAGTGGTATCAGAGCGCCTTGGAGCAGCTATGACGATGGCTGGACCTGAAGAAAGGGGTGACAGAGGTGCTGGAGGCAGTGGAGGACCCCAAGCACAAGGTCAACCCCATGATTCAGCCATGGGGCCCGTGCAACCTACTCTTGGACCTTCTAGGGATGAACCAAGAGTGTTCGGGCTTGACAAGTTCAACGGTGACAACTTTGCTGAGTGGTCCTTCAGAATGGAGAATGTGTTTGACCACTATGACCTGCTGGAGGTGATGGAAGGAACGGAGAAGCGCCCCGAGAACGACCCGGAGAAGAGCCCGTGGGTGCGGAAGAGCGCACAAGGCTACCTCCTACTTGGGCAAGCGTTGGGGAGCAGCCAAATCCGTCACATCAAGCCATTCCAGCATTAACCAGCGACACTACAAATTGACGAGGATGAAGCGGTTGAAGAAGGGGTGCAGAAATTCTTCGACTTATTGAC